GTTATTCCAGCCTCTCTAGGAAGTAGGAGGGGCCGCGCTGTAACCCTTTAGTGTGCTTTCGGGGGAGCACGGAGGGAGCGGTCCGCGCGCCAGGGCAGCGCAGCGCAGCGCAGCGCAGCGCGGCGTCCTCCCGCGGACACGCACGTGGGAGCCTCGTCATCTGGCTCGGGGTGGAGAGGGACGATGGCCGGGATGACACCCACTCCCACCAGGCCAGGGCCCGCGGGGCCCGTCCCCGGGATTTCTGGCGCAGTCGGAGAAGAGCACCCCCGGCCACTCAGAAGGAGGGGGCTTCACGCCCCCCGGCATCTCTCAGCGGGATCGGCGTCAGTCGGAACTTTGCACCCTCCCTCTGACGGCTTCCTCCTACAACGACGACCCGGCAAAGCGGGCTGGGAGAGGGAGAAGGGCTGCCCCAAATTCGCCCGGGACGCTCCAGGGCCACGGGGACCTCCCAGTCTCCGTCCAAGGATGCTAAAGAACAAATAATAGATGGTTTTTAATTAAAGTCTAGCAGGGTTGGCCTTTTTCTTAGAAGTTTGGCTCTTCCAGTTGAACCGCTCAGTCTTTTAAATAAAGGTCTCCAGAGGGAACAGTTGCTTTGGCATCGGACGCCTCTGAGTCTTTTGATTGCGGTATGAGCTTTATTGCGTTTTCAATGGGGCATCTTAATGCTCTGCGGTGCGCAGAGCTTCGAAGCAGGATACAAGCATGTTCTAAAACAAATGTTTTAAAATTCCCCCAGCTGCATCTCCCCAGGTGTGTTGGGCTAGAGCACCGTTTCTCACCCTTGGCAACTCTAAGCTGTGTGGACTGCAACTCCCAGAATTCCCCAGCCAGGTTGAAAAACGCTGGACTAGGGTTTCCCCCAACTCGGCCAACTGGACCACGTGGAAGGCACCCAGCTCGGGAAACTGCGAGCACCTTTGCATACTCAACTCCAGCACGCTTTAAGATCTACCTCCCGATGGCATTTGTAGTCCAACGCATTTGGCAGACCACAGTTTAAGGAAGTCGCTTCTTGTGAGATGGGCAGCTATATAAATCTGATAAATAAATAAACGGGAAACCCGGTTTTAGACGAATCCTTAAGTGTGGAACTGCAGCGGTTGCATTGCAGAGACCTGTGAGAAATGTAGGTTATCTATACAGGTCATGGCTGGGGTTGCACGTGGCTGGTTTGTGGCTTCATCCTGCAACGCAATTTTCTTATTTGTTATTATTACTTCCTTGTTCCAATTTATTTATTGTACTCTTTTTTTTTTTAACTTTGTTCTACACCCAGAGTCACATGTGAGATGGGCGGCTATATAAATTTACCAGATAAATGGTACACGACTGCTTCTGCTGGGTTCAAGCCTGTTTCCTCCAAAATACTGGGCGGATACAGATTTGCAACCCAAGAGCAGAGCACACGCCTAACCCAAAATCAGTTCTGCGGGGCAGAAGCTGTACTTCTCGCACTGGCTCCTTTCCAGCTTAGCGCCCCTCTGCTTTCTAGCTTCAAGGCAAAGCAATACTGGCAGGATCCTTGAGCATGTGCAGAGTGTTCCTTCCACACGACACGGCTGAAGATGCTTGGCGGGGGGGGAGCAAAGCTGAACCCCCGACCCGCCTTCTTCTTAGCAGCGCTCCCGTGCAGGGACCGCGGGAGCCTCCAACCTGGGAGCTTCGCGTTCATTCAGAGCCGCCGAACGACTGCGGATTCTCCAGGGCATGTACTCTGCACGTGCTCAGAGTCCCCACTCACCCTCCTCCTCAGCCGCTGGCGGTGAAGCAGCTGAGAAGAGGCGAGCCGAAGAAACGCCTTCGCCCACCGCCCCTCATCGCTCCTCCACTCCGCAGTGGGGCTCCAAGGGTTAAAATGCCTGCTCTGCGATGCCTAGAGCGGCCCGGAACTACAAGGCGCACGGAGGAATGCAAATAACGGGGCATCTTCCGGTCCCGCCTCCTTGCTTTGATTTGTGACGTTGGTAATTCCAGAAAATCAGATTTTTCTCTCCGTTTGTTGGCCTGGCTTTGCACGGAGTTTTTAGCTTTCCTCCCGTTCCTTATTGCAAAGAATAATTCCCCATTGTAAGAAAACAGTTCCTTGTTTAGCATTAAAATATACTGTTCTATTTTCAAGTTAATAAGGAACGGAATTTGTTCGTCATTTTCGCCTCGGAGACCGGTCCGGACGTAGGCCAAGCCGAGGCTGCAACGAAGACGCTGCTTTCGTATCGCATGCTTCTAGAAAGCAGCCCTCTTTAACCCTCCAGATTATGTGTTATCTTCTGCTAGGGACTACAACTCCCATGAAGCTTGCTGACCTTTCCCCCCCTAAGGCATTGGGAGAGAAGCTGAGCCTTGGGGAGCAAAGAACAGCCAGACCTGTAAAGGAGTCCCTTGAGACAGGCAGTTTAACTAACAAGGGATGCAAAAGATATTCCACAGATGGGGAGAAGTTCTGTTGATCGTGTAAATCCACAAAAAAACCACTCTGAAAGGTCACTGCAATATTGACTAACGTTTTGCATGGTAGAGCGTGCGATGTGCAACAGCAGACCCTGAAGAAAGTCACAAATGAGCCCGAATCAAGCCATATCCAAATTAAATGTCCATCTGAGCCAATAAAGTAGTTTTCTGTATCGCTGCTCTGTTCTACCTTGCCCAAGCCGAGAATTTCATATGAAAATTGAAGGCTCTCTTTGGTGACAAAGTTACTCTCACTTCACAGTGTGAAAAGTATTTAAAATACTATTAATACATGCACATAGCCTAGGGTGGTTGCCAACATCCTTGTTTTATATTCCAATAAATATTTGTTTTCATTGTCATCATCAACCAGAACAAGGCCATTGTAACAGCGTAAAGATACAACTGAAGGTATTAAAATCAATGACAAGTAAGTATAAGGCAGTAATTTTAACTAAAGGAAAATTTAAAGTTAAAAAGTTTTGCTTTTGACCAATATAAAGGTCAGTACTTTATTCATTAAAACTTTTGTATCCTGTCTTTCCAGCCAGCTGCTCATGGCATCTTACGTTACCCAAACTGGACAAATATGGAAAACATTGCAACAAATACTGGTCGTAATAGTAGTATTACTTTATTGATTAGTCAGTTGACCATATCAAGAAACCATGGGCGTCAGCAAGAATAAAATGAAATTAAAAAAGATAAAATAAAGTAAGATGAGACAAACTAGAGTAAGATAAAATGAAGCTAAAAGAGTGAGATAAAAGATAAAATAGAATACAGAAACGTAAGAGCAACAAATACAAATGTTAGGCATTATAATGCAATCAAAATTATAATAAAATAATATCACAGCAGCAGTGTTTTAAAATCCTAGTACCATTGGTATTACTATGCATAGCATGCTCTTGTGTCAGGTTTAAAAGTTGCTTGCAAAGTGTTCTTTTCATAAGTCTATTTTCAGGTCACTATAGCAAAATGATTTTTTGTGCATCACAGTAAATGACAATCTGGGTTATGAACTGATATCCCATTGATTAGAAGGTACTTCCTGGCTCAAGTATTGGGGGAAAAATTGCTGTGGCAGCTGAAAGCCGTGTGAAAAAGGTTCTTGCGCCCCAAAGTGTAACATTTTTGTACACAACGTATCATGCAGTGGGAAGCCTGTCACTCGCTATATAAACAGATACTTCAAGGGGACAGAACCATGTTTCTTACTGCAGTCCAATGCTTATCTATGGAAGAAGGTTTTAGTAAATAGAATGCTAGATTTGGTGGAAGGTCTTAGTGAAGCAGCTGGTAGGAAGCTAAGCACATGAGAACGCAGGAGAATTAGTGTGGTATCAGCTTTCAGCATCAATCACTGCATGTACCGTGATCCTACAGAAACAAAACCCAGCAAGGAAATTGGGAAATTTGTATCACACATTATGCATCAAACATTCTTAGATGAGCTCTCAGTAGACATTGTAAACTTAGCTCTGGAAGTGCTGTTTTTTTCAATATCTACACAGATATTTTTTTTTTAATTATCTGCACGTGCAGTGGAGAAAAATTCTCCAATATGCTCTCACCAAGTAACTCTCTAAACACCATCCCTAGAATGTTGTAGAATTGGACAGCCAGTTAAGAATATGAGATGCTGAGCCTTGTTTATTCACCTAGCTTTGCCTAATAGACAAAGGTAGCGTGTTTCATATAAGAATGAAGGTTTTCC